ACCCAGTTCATCATGACCACTTGCTAAGTCTTCATCACTTTCAACTGGATCAAAGAAATCTTTGTATTTCAAGTCTCTAGAACTTTTGTCTAACTAAACAAACAAACCCAAAAAAAGATTTCATTTAAAACTACTAAAATTAAGAATTTACTTAAAGCTATTACAATTAAGGCTAGGAAAACATTAAAATGTGTTCTTCTTATTATTTATGTGGCTCTCTTATTAGTATGGAGTGCTGGCAGTCTAGTGGGTTAAGAGTAACACTACAAACCCAAAGGGAGGTGGTCCAAAACCATAAGATGCTCTACAGAAGAAAAATAGGCAATCTCTTCCTGTTTAAGTTACACCCTCTGAATAGCCACTGGAGGGTCAGCTATGAGCAGGTTCCAAATTGACAGCACTTCACTTAATACAGGCTCAAACAGGTTATTAGGGAAAACTGGCAAAGAATAACACTCTTATAAAACCACATAAATATCAGCAAGCTTTGGTGGCCTAGTGGCAAGGAGGTGTACTGCAATCCCAGATATGTATGGTTCAAATCCACCAGATGCTCTGCTGGAGGAGGAACAATCTCCTCCTGTACCAGTCACACACAAAATAATAAAGAAAAATAAAGTTAAAAAAAAAAAGCACACAAAAACAAAAAACCAAAAACAAACCAACCACATAAATATCTAAAGAAAAACCGATTAATTGAAAATTGGTAGAGAGAACCAGAACTATTTGTAAAACAGTTTGAGAGTAAACTAAAGTACACAAATTCCTTCTTCAGTTTTAAATCTTCCTCTTCAATTGGTGTAAAGATTTAATTTAGAGAGTGAGTAAAAGAGGAAAACTCTACACAAGATGGTATGGACAGAGTGACTACAACAATGGACCTGTGCATAACAGAGACCATGATGAAGGTGCAGGACAGGGCGAGTTCAGACCTGGATGTCCAGGCTGACTATGAGTTGTAGTTGACTGATGGCATCTAACAGAAACAAATATCTCACTTATATCCTGGGAAATTCTGTTGTGCTTTCAAATGATCCTAAAGAATGAGATTAAAACCTATTTTCGAAAGAAAAACATACCCCCCCTCTTCTCCTCTCAAAACTTTACCTTAAGTTTTTCACTTCCAAATAGTCCTCCCTCATCTTCATCAGAATCAACATCTTCAAAAAAATCAATATCTTCTTCGTCATCTTTTTTCTCTT